GCCCCAATGACCATAAAATTGAGGACATGATTTCTAAAGATACCGACAAGACTGGAGGCCTGTTGACACAGTTACTTCGGCCCCAAGCGATGTGAGCGCGCTGGCCGTGATCGTATAGTGGTTAGTACTTCGCGTTGTGGCCGCGACAACCCAGGTTCGAATCCTGGTCGCTCAATATTTTTAGTCCGTGTATTTATAAACACTTAGTCAATTCATACTTAATCAAGTCATTAGATAAAGTAGAAAATAAACTATATAAAAAACTTTTTTAAAAACCACGTTTTTCATGTGTAGCAACGGACTAAAAAGGAGAAAATAAAATACTTAAAAAAAACTTTTTAAAAAACCACGTTTTTCTTGTGGACTAAAAAGTAGAAAATAAATTTTTCTTTTGTGCTTCCTCGAGCTGTGCAGGTTCTTGTGATGACTGACAAAAAACGTGGGTCGGGCAGATGGGTAGGGAAATTTGATGGTGAACGTACCCACGTTTAAAATTTATTTTCTACTTTTTAGTCCACAAGAAAAACGTGGTTTTTTAAAAAGTTTTTTAAAGTATTTTATTATGTATAGGAAAATGAGTAACAGCGACCAAATACTTTTTTACAAAGTTTGTATCCACTAGAAGCTCTTTACCTCTTATGGGTACACTAAATGTGTAATTTAATTATTATGGGGCTGGTAAGTAGGTCACCAACCAGTTCTATGGCTCATGCAGGTTTTATTGAGCCGTAGAACTGTTTGGTGACCTACTTACTAGCCCTATAAGTTTACATATTCCATTGCATAATATACAAAATTTCAAGATTAAATTGATTTAAGAAGCGAATTAATTGTTTGGCTACTCTTTTCATAGCTGACGAACAGCGTCAAAATATGTCAATGTTCCAAGTCAACCAGCTCTATTTATCTGTTGCTCGCTTTTAATTGCCTATTGACATGTAGATTTGTAAATTTCCAATGTGGTGTCACCCCAACCGACTTCGGTGGACGGTGTATTTAGTGTCACCCCCCCTACCTCTTTTTTGACTGGCGTCAACTAATATTTATCCACCTAGAAAAAGCATTGAAGGGTCTAATTTAATTGGAAAAAAATTGCTTTTGTATAAAGTTGTCAGTTGTTATGTTAAAAAGTTTAGTTGGCGCCCCCCCCCCCCCCCACCGTGATAGCTTTAAACTGTGCACAGATAATACTAAAGATGTTTATCTATAGTAGGTTATTAATACTGCTGGATGTGGCGTTGTTTTCTTTATCTTTAGCAGGTTTACGTCATGGCGTTACCCCCCCCCCCCCCCCCCACTGTTGTCTGTATTTGTCAACTTAGCTTTTAGAAGATTATTTAAATTTAATTAATCATTCATTTAACATGAAGGATCATTGTTGTTCTCTATATATTTTATTATTTGTTTGCCTTGGTGTCACCCCCCCCCCCCTTAAACGGATGTCCGCACCCCCCTCGCGACGCCTCTGTATATATATATATATATATATATATATATATATATATATATATATATATATATATATATATATATATATATATATATATATAGACAAGACTATAGAATTATATAGCTCATCTCAAAAGACAAAATGAAGCGAGAATCGATAAAGAGTTTGTGAGGCGTAGGTTGAAAGCAAATGGTCCGATAACTATTGGCCCCCTGACGACTGTTTACTCGCGTCGCTTAGCAACGGTCTGTAACGGTCGCTGGTTGCACTGACAGCGACTGACACGACTTTTACCTGGACACATTTTATCCTGTCAGGTCAACATCAAAGGTGGCATGTAATTAATTAACCTGGCGTAATTACTGGATGTTTAATCGGAGTTTTAGCATGTACCACTAATATATAAAAGCTCGCCTTTTCCCAACTGTTGTTTTGTGCAGAATTGAAAATTTGAAAATTTGCTCCCGAGGGGGTGCCAAATTGAAAGTTTGTCCCCGGGCGCCGGGAAGGGTCGCTACGTCTCTTGTTTTGTGATGTAGATATCGTGTGCAAATAGCACAAAATAGCTGTACGGCCGGGCGGTGTGTTTGTTATTACAAAATCACTCCAAAAGTCCCTAGTTCTGATCCCGGGTAGACGAGGTTCGTTTGCTCTAGAAAAGAAAACTCCCCAAATTAAACAACAGCTGTCTTGGAAAATGTTCTTGGGTGGACAAAGGCTATGGAAGCAAATATAGAAAGGTTAAAAGCGTAGTCAACGGGCCTTATGTCGCATTTATGTTGACTCGAAGACTAATACTTAATTAAGTTAGAGAAAATTACTGGCTTACACAGGCTATCTTTTGACATAGGTCGACATTACTGGCTTACACAGGCTATCTTTTGACATAGGTCGACATTACTGGCTTACACAGGCTATCTTTTGACATAGGTCGACATTACTGGCTTACACAGGCTATCTTTTGACATAGGTCGACATTACTGGCTTACACAGGCTATCTTTTGACATAGGTCGACATTACTGGCTTACACAGGCTATCTTTTGACATAAGTCGACATTACTGGCTTACACAGGCCATCTTTTGACATAAGTCGACATTACTGACTTACACAGGCTATCTTTTGACATAAACTCAATTATTACCAGACAGCTAAATATCTAAAACACGTCAGCCAAACAGCTTTAAAACAAAACAGCTTTAAAGCATCAAATCACAACAGCCACAAAGATTTATAATAAAACAGCTTTAAAGCATCAATTCGCAACAGCCACAAAGATTTATAACAAAACAGCCTTAAAGCATCAAATCACAACAGCCACAAAGATTTATAACAAAACAGCCTTAAAGCATCAAATCACAACAGCCAAACAGCTTTAAAACTCACTCAACGGGAGTATCGAATAAGACACCGCGAAGGTTATTTAAAAAGATCGATACGACATTTATCGTCTTCAATCGATACCATCTAGAACCATACACACAGAGGCTGTTTGTTCTGCTTGCCGTTTGCTGTCTCATGCAGACAACTAGCCTACGATTACCTGAAGATCTAGCTAGCTGCTAGGGATTCTGAGTTGAAAACAACAGATCAACAACATTCGTCATTATACCGGTCTGGGTAACATAGCACGGGTAGCAATCACAAGTAAAATGTCCAGCTAAAATGACAAATTATCTCACCATAATTTGGTTCCTGCAAATGTGGATGGATAAAGCAGACCCTGATAAGGGAAGGGCACAATATCGCGAGGAAAGCATAAGACTGCAATCCCCAGGGGAAGAGGAAAGTAGACCGGACAGGGAAATCCTGGAGAAGGACAGTAGAAAGTGAGGCAAGGGCTGTCGGGCTTACATGGACGCCAATTAACAGAGCCGCTCAAACCCGAGTCCGATAGAGGGGTGTGGTTGTAGCCCTTTGCTACTTATGCACCATAAAGGAATAAGTCAAAGTCATTGACACAAGTCATTTTTTTTTGGTTAAAGTATTACATCCGGGAATTTCTAATAACTCGCATGTAGCAGTAATATGCTAGAAGACACAGTGTCTGGAGTGTGTCTGACTTTTGCCAACCCCGATGGCCATTGACCCGTGACTGAGCGCACGTTTCCGCCTGATCACGTGCTCTGGACATAGCATTTGTTTACTTCTCTCGGAGGCGACTCACATGTCAATATCGGCTAAATGGGGTAAATAATTTAATTAGTTTAATTAGTCCATAATGGGTCGCACCACTCAAAGTGAATAGGTTTAATTGGCTACTGTCACATACGGGTGAAAGGTGTAATCGGATACTCAAGTCTTTAATTAGAGTGTAAAAATAGATGAAATTAATGACTTATGAGTCCATCATTTGGATAGTTATTAGAAGAAATGAGTTGGGGTCATTGACACTAGGTGCAAGATTTTGTTTTACTAAACACCCTGCCTGTGTACTAGGTCATGGTATGAACCCCTGATTGGAACACAAGGTGGGGGGAGAATGGAGGGGGGTCACGGTCGATCGGAGAGGGATCGGTTTAAATATTTACCATGTGATGCGTGACTGCCTAATGAACCGTCCAACACTTATGTCTCAATCTCTGCAAGACTTATAAGCATTCTATTGGCGGAACTACCGTACCGGGAGGTAGGTAGGGGTAAGGTGGGGGGGGGGGGGGGGGGGAGGGGGGCTTAGGGAGCCTACAATCCGACCAGACGTCAAATCAAGAATTTCATGTCATTTTCAATTATTTGATAACTTTTTTTCAGTTTTGCCTAGATAGTGATTTTGTAAAAAAACACAATCAATTTGATTCTGCAGTAATTAGGCTGCACGGTGGAGATGGTGGCAGCATTGAGTCCACCTAGCTTTGACACTTTTGTTTGAATTATTTGTTTTTAAGTGAAAATGTTTATTTCCCAAGCTGACGTTTTTTTTTACAATATTAAAACAAAATAATCAAGAACTGGTTCTGCATCAAAGAACTTAATAAATTGTGAGTCCGAAAAATTTATAGCTCGCTAAATTAAGATCCGGTTAAATTACGAATGGCCCGAAGAAAAAAACGTATCACTAGAGAATTACCTTCGCAATAACGAGGACGCGAAAATGAAACGAAAATTAAAACCGTACAACTCCATCTCATGTAAACGGGATATTAAAACACATTATGTTTTTTTTAATTGCAAATCTCTATCATCTTACAACGAGACAAAGCAACACGTAGTAGTTGTCTCGTTATCTGCGTATGTGTTTTACATACATACTTCATTTTTCAAACTTGTTTTTACCCCATAACTTTTTTTTGTTTTAGAGCAGTTACATAATCTGCTACCCCCACTTTACCGTAGTAATAAGATTCCCTGTTCTTTTTTTCCATCTAACCAAATTTTCGTGCCCGACAATCAACATGCTATCATACAAAAATGCGTTTAACCAACTGCGAATTTTCATCACAACGTGCTTTAGTCTATCATCTTACAAAGATCAGCTCGTTAGATAATGAATACAAATGTTCCCACTTAAAAAAAAATTAACGATTTGTTTTAAATCCCCCCCCCCCCCCCAGGTAGCCCACCCCCCAGCACCATGATGCACCTGAGGTTGTCCGTGTGCCGGAGCAACATGCTGCGCCGCAAGCTGAGGAAGTTCCTCAAGGTCACCCTCGGCATCTGTGTCGCGCTGTTCTTCCTGCTGCTCTTCCTCGCCTCCACGGAGCAGCCCTGCCCGCCCGAGGGGTGCGGCAGCTCAGGGGAGTTCATCCACAGGTTCCCAAAGAGGGAGGTCAGGTCCAGCTCAGAGGTCAAGAGGATTCTCCGATGGACGGGCTTCTTCGAGGACCCCTCGTGGGAGGAGACGGACGATTCTTATTTTAAATCGTGCAAGGTCAGTCTGTGTCCGTCTAGGTCAGTCTGTGTCTGATAAGGCTAGTCTGTGTCCTCTGTGTACGTCAATGCGAGCATGTGTACGGTGAAAAAACTGTTAATAATCAAAATGTTTTTAAACTTCAGCATTTTTTTCTGTCAGTACCATTTACATGATTAATTACTTCATATTTCTGATTAAATTCGAGATTTTTCAATGATTAGATAGAACATACAGTTTCCCAATGAAATATTGATAAAACATACAGTTTCCCATTGAAATATAGATAAGGCATACAGTTTCCCAGTGAAATATAGATAAGGCATACAGTTTCCCATTGAAATATAGATAAGGCATACAGTTTCCCAATGAAAAATAGATAGATCATACCGTTTCCCAATGAAATATAGATAAAACATAGTTTCCCAATGAAATATAGATAAAACATACAGTTTCCCATTGAAATATAGATAGATCATACAGTTTCCCATTGAAATATAGATAGATCATACAGTTTCCCATTGAAATATAGATAGATCATACAGTTTCCGGGACTGCCAAGAAAATTGCCGGCGACCGACTAAAGTAGATAGAGCTTTCTGTGTCTTGGTCACAAAACGAAAAACATGATGATGATAGTTTCCCTATTAAATATAGATAGATCATACATACAGCTTCCTACTAAATAGTTCTTTTGAATGTCAAATTTTGTATTTGTTTTATTACAGTATCGTTTTATAAAATTTAAAATATCCACGTTTTTAAAAAAACACGAAACTCGTCAACTCTACAGGTCAACCAGTGCACCATGACCAACGACAAGTCTTTATTTGACCAAAGTGACGCCGTTCTGTTCCACGCAGGCGCGCTCTGGAACTTTTGGAAAGGTGTGAGACTGCCCAGTAAGAGACACGCCTACCAGGTAACCCCCACCCCACCTGACTTGTCACAAACCCCACCCATTAGTCTAAAGTACTGCCCATTTGAACACTGCTCCCCTCGATTTTTTCTCTCCATCTTTACGTCGCATGTAAAGTGGACTGGGTTTCAGTCTAAAAAAACATAATTAATTAAACAAAAAATCAATCCCTACACTTAAAAATTGAATGTCAAAATCGCATGATTGAAATAATGGGTCTTTTAATTTTAAGCGATATTTCGGGGGATAACAATAAAACGGAAGTGTATGAGGCGTGGGGGTGGGGAGGGGAACGTGGCTGTAATTCATTGGAGGACGGGGGAGGGGAAAATTCAGCGTGAAACATTATTTTATAGCCTGATTTTTGTTGAAGTCCTGGTTATCATAGGCCCAGCTTTTAATTAAGTTTTTTATGTTCCTGATCTGGATGCTACATGACGTGAAGCCCCCACCCCCAACACCGCCCCAACCCACCTCCTCAGCAGGCTACCCAAGCTTCCCCCCCCCCACACACACAATTCTTAAAGCCTGTTCCATGTTCCAGGTCTGGGTCCTGCACCCCCATCAACATTACTGCCCCCCCCACACACACACAGCCCCACAGCTACTTAGGGTCTGTTGTATGCTCCAGGTCTGTATCTTACATAACGTGGAGCCCCCACCCCCCCCACCCCCACAGTTCTTTAAACCCTATTCCATGTTGCAGGTCTGGATCTTACATAACGTGGAGCCCCCACCCCCCACCCCCACAACTACCTAAGTCTGTTCCATGTTCTAGGTCTGGATCTTACATAACGTGGAGCCCCCACCCCCACCCACCCCACCCCCATTCCACCCCACCCCCACATCTACCTAAGTCTGTTCCATGTTCCAGGTCTGGATCTTACATAACGTGGAGCCCCCACCCAGGGTGCCACTCAACTTGGTGCCGTTCGCTGGTGTCTTTAACTGGACAGCTTGGTACAGAACGTAAGTGGAGATACATTCATAAACATCTCATTGCAGTTAGTTCACTTTAGCTCATCCTATCAGCCGTGATTGGCATTAATTTGGTTTGATGGTACGGCTAACCGAAATGTCCAACGATTTCAGAGATTCTGACGTGCCCGTGGGGTACGGGGGCTACACCAACATGCCCATGCCGCCCAGCCTCAGGTTCAACCAATCAATGAAGCCCAACTGGTCACGTGAGAACAACCGCTTCTCCGCCTGGATGTCCAGCAACTGCTACGACTACAACAGACGACAGCTGGTCATTAATGAGTTAAAGGTTAGTAGCTGGGTCATTAATGAGTTAAAGGTTAGTTAGGTCATTAATGAGTTAAAGGTTAGTTAGGTCATTAATGAGTTAAAAGTTAGTTAGGTCATTAATGAGTTAAAGGTTAGTTAGGTCATTAATGAGTTAAAGGTTAGTTAGGTCATTAATGAGTTAAAGGTTAGTAGCTGGGTCATTAATGAGTTAAAGGTTAGTAGCTGGGTCATTAATGAGTTAAAGGTTAGTAGCTGGGTCATTAATGAGTTAAAGGTTAGTAGCTGGGTCATTAACGAGTTAAAGGTTAGTAGCTAGGTCATTAATGAGTTAAAGATTAGTAGCTGGGCCATTAATGAGTTAAAGGTTAGTAGCTGGGCCATTAATGAGTTAAAGGTTAGTTGGGTGATGTCCGGCAGCTGGTCATTAATGAGTGAAAGGTTAGTTCGTTTTAATGAACATAAAGCTGTATTTTCTTACCATATTGTCTCAAATAAAGGCGCTTGTATGGCGCGATGTAAATAAATATTGTAGTCAGAGTTATGCAAATAAACAACAGTTGGTCTAAGCCGTAATGGACGTGAAGAACATTAGCATTAAGCACAAATAAGGACTTTATGTTAACAGCGAAATTTTGTCTAACATCCGATAAACGACAATTTCCCCCAAACATATTCTAAACACATGTAAGCAACGATATTTTGTGTTGCTTCCTTACAGCAACGATACTCTTGTTTTACATCCTCTCACCAAAGACATTTTATCTAGCACCATGTAAACTACGACCTTTCACCCCCCCCCCCCTCACCCCCAGGCACAACTGGGCCACGACATGGACCTGTACGGCAAGTGTGGCGGCAAGCGGTGCCCGGAGACCGTCTGCTACGACACCATCTCCAACTACAAGTTCTTCTTCACCTTCGAGAACTGCAACTGCCGGGACTACATCAGCGAGAAGTTCTGGGCGGCGCTGCTCCGGCGTCAGGTGCCCGTC